TATATATATATATATATATATATATATATATATATATATGTATATATATATTTTCATATAATTAATATATATTTACCAGTAAGAACACGAGAAAAGCAAAGAGTGTATCCCCTCCCATGCAAATGCGTGCTGCTCGCGGACACCAAAGTTTCTATCATTGCGCGTATCGTTTCAATCGTTACAATACGCAAGCGCGTGCGAATATAGAGTCTTGCTAGCGATGAACAGACAAAAGAGAAAACAGTCGTCGCCTCGTGACATTGCGTTATACTTCACGAACGCGAAAGTACCAACAGTAGAGTCTCAAGTGAAAAACATTTTACAATGTACAACAATAAAAATTACAAACGTGACATAAGTTATACATACGAATTGAATCGGTTTTTTCTTCGCATATTGGGCGTCTGGCCCTACGCAAACAAGAAATTCTGTCTTTTACAAAAGCTGAGGAAGAGCGTGCTGATTTTCGGATGCTACTTTATCCTTTGTTGCGATCTAATTTCTATACTCCTTTATATATTCGTGGTGCAGAAGGAGACACACGCGAGAATTAAGATTATAGGCGTTGTGTTATTCACGATTGTGTCGATTTTCAAGTATAGCAATATGTTGTACGTGGAGAATCAAATGAAGGATTGCTTGGCGTGTGTGGAGAAAGATTTTCAAAGTGTTACTAGTTCGACTGCGCGCAACACGATGCTTTTTCACGCGAGAACTGGCAGACGTTTGTTGATCTTGTGTGGTATATTTATGTATGGCGGCGGTATGACATATCGAACAGCCATACCGTTATCAAGAGAGAAGATTGTCACCGCTCAGAACATTACAATTAGACCTTTGCCGTGTCCTGCTTACTATGTAGTGTTCGATTCACAGATCAGTCCGACTTACGAGATTGTGTTCTTCGTACAGTGTTTGACGGGTTTCCTCAAGTATACGATCACAGTGGCAGGTTGTGGCATTGCGGCGCTCTTCACGATGCATATCGTCGCGCAATTAGACATCTTAATGGTACTAATGAACAATTTGACGGTCAAACATGAGCTTGAGCATGTGAACAAGAAATTATCTGTTATCGTACAACATCAAATAAAAATACGAAAGTAATAATCGTTTGATCTCAATTATGTTAGTAGCTATATTTCATTTAAAGCATATATATTTGTTATTATTATATCAATTGAAATGGCATATCATATAGTATTTTAGTACAATCAATTTTTTGATCGTACTAATTGAAATATACGTCAATATGATGGATAATTAATTATTTTCGGAGAACAAGACTTACATTTGTCATACAATGGCTTTCAGTTTTTTAGATATGGTGCAAGGCGTTGTACATTTCTCGAGTTTCGTAGAACTTATGGCATGTACTTCCATAATATGCCTCATGATATATTGCTTAATTATGGTATGTAAAAATCATTAAGTAAAATATATATATGTTTGAGATGTGAAATATAATATATATATTTTACTAAAATTATTAATATATTTTATTTCTTTATGCAGGAATGGGAGGCCAGTAATGCCGTAGCCATTTGTACGTATTGTATTTTAGTGATATCATTCATTTTCAATATATTTGTATATTGTTTTATTGGTGAGCAACTTTCTGAAAAGGTAGATATATTAATATTCGTGGTACGCACATTCTTACTCATATATTATGGTGATAATAATGCCATATCATACAAAATGATGACTTTTCTTTAAATGTCATCCTAATATTTATCATTTATTAACGAAACTAGGGAGAAGAAGTAGCTTTGACTGCATGTACGTTAGATTGGCACCTTCTTCCGGATGCAAATGCGCGGGCATTAATTCTAATTATGCTCATGTGTAATAAGACAATGAAACTTAGGGCAGGCAATTTCTTGGAGTTATCCTTTAGGACATTCGGGTCTGTAAGTAATATCTCTGCTCAGAAAGAATACGGTTCCTATTTTTATATGTAATATACGCGACTACTTTAATTGAAGTATGTTTTTGAAAGCTTTTACATCCGATATTTATTGTTTTCTTTCTTTCTTTTTTGGAAAAGGGAAAAGCAATTAATTTAAGTTTATTTTATTTTAGGTTGTTAAAACAGCCGTGGGATATTTAAATCTCCTTCGATCAGTTGTAGATTGAATTACAATACATTTTTTTATAGATTAATTTAGCGTAGAATGGAGGAACTATTAAGTATGTAATGTTGAAGTAAACATAATTAGATATTGAAAGTTAAATACGGCGTCCTTTCCTAGTGAGGCGGTCTAGATTTCATTCCTGACGAAGCAGTATTTTTCACAT